TTTAGAACAGAAGCAATGAAACGAAGTGTGCTAATTCGAATAATAGAAGGAAATTATGAAAAAATACAACAAATATTGGCAATATTAGACAAAGACCAATTAAGTAATATTAATGAAAGGTATGAGATGATATTGGAACAGGCTAAAGTATTTTTGGATTGCAAAGATGAATTTAATCATACTAAAAATCAAGTTAAGATTGAAAAAGAAGTCATAACACCAATTACACAATTACACGATTTCGACGGAAGAGAGGAAGATTGGCAAACTTTCGTAGAATTATTTAAAGATTACGTACATACATAATAATCGAAATTTATCATCCTCAATGAAACTTGACTATTTAAGATCTCATATTAAAGGGGATGCGCGTATGACTATTAGTCATCTATTATCTGGAACATCAGCAAACTATGAAGCGGCGTGGGATACGTTAATAAGAAGATATGAAAACAAAAGATTAATTTTTACAAGAAATTTTGACAAATTACTTGACATGAAAACAATTACCTCATCATCAGTTTTGAGTTTAAGAGACGCTCATGATCAAATTAAACAATGCATTCAACTAATTGAATCTAAACAGGCAGAACCTAACTGTGACAAATTATACGCGCACATAATAATAAGAAAATTGGATAAAGAAGGTATTCAATTATATGAACAATACATTAAAAAACCAAGAGAAATAAACACACTAAAAGATGTATTTGAATTTCTGGAACAACAATTCCAAACTCTGGAAGCCCAAAATAGCCTTAAAACATCAAGAATAAACTATATTAATCCAGCAACTGACATAAGAATTCAGAACAATACTATCCAATGCCAATGTTGTAATCAATTAGGTCATCGGATGTATAATTGCAAACGATTTATGGACATGTCGATTGGACAACGAACATCATTAATCCGCAATAAACAACTATGCGAGATATGTTTGAGTCATAATAATCGCATTAAATGCAACTCTACACACAAATGCAAAAAGTGTAATAAAGCTCACAATTCTCTTTTACACATGGAATACAATTTAAATCAACGTCAGCAAAACAGCAGAAACAACCCAAAAATTAATAAAGAAGGAAAAACTTATTCAACAATAATAAAAGATAAGAAACAATTAACCTTACTTCCAACTGTATTAATCAGCACAAAATCATCAGATGGAAATATTCATCAATTGAGAGCCTTGGTAGATCAAGGTTCGCAAGTATCAATGGTGTCTGAGAAGGTAGTTCAATTATTGATATTAAAAAAAATGAAACACATGACCAAATTGTCAGGGGTATCTAACACAACGGTTGGTACATCAAACGCTAGAGTCTTTATGGAAATATCATCAAGGTTTGGCATCAAAAAGAAGATAAAAGGGGAATTTTTAGTAATGTCACATCTAGTAAGATCATTGCCAGAAGAAACAATAGAAATAGAAACCAAAATTTGGGATAATTATAAACTAGCGGATCCTGAATTTAATAAGAATGGTTGTATTGATATGACAATAGGAAGTGACCTTTATCCAAAAATAATTAAAGAAGGCATCAAAAAATACAATAACCTAATAGGCCAAGAAACCATATTTGGGTGGATGATTTCTGGTCAAATATTAGCAGATGCAGCTAGTAATGATGTTATATCAACTTTAAACTTAGAAAGATTTTGGGAAATAGAAGAAATAGAAAATGAAAAGGAAAAACCTAATTCCGACGACGAATTGTGCCTAGATCTATATAAAACAACTACAATAAAAGACACTGATGGAAGATATATTGTTCAAATCCCCTTTAAAGAAGACTTGTCATTAGGTAACTCAAGGAAGCAAGCAGTAGCCAGATTATTGAGCTTGGAGAAAAATATTAATAAAAAATTAAAAAAGGAGTACGCTGAATTTATGAGAGAATATGAACAATTAGGTCATATGGTAAAAACTAAAGACCAAAATAAAGGATTATATTACATGCCACATCAAGCAGTAATCAGAGAGAAAAGTTTAACGACGAAATTACGAGTAGTATTTGATGCGTCCGCCAAAACATCTAATGGAAAAAGTCTTAATAACATAATGATGACAGGTCCACGATTGCAAAAAGATATTTTTGATATTATATTAAAATGGAGGTTATGGAGATTCGTAGTAACAGCAGATGTAGAAAAGATGTTTAGACAAATAAAAATAACGAAAGAACATCAAGATTATCAGCGAATTCTCTGGAGAGAGAATCAAACAGATAAAATAGAAGAGTTTAAACTAACTACAGTCACATATGGAACAGCTTCAGCTGCATTTTTAGCAGTCCGAACACTACAGCAAATTGCAGGAGATTATGAAGGAAATGTTAATATTAAAAATACGATTAAAAATGATTTTTACATGGACGATTTACTAACTGGTGCCGATACAACGTCAGATTGTAAAGATAAAATTAATAAAATTTTTAATTGTTTAAACAGTGCAGGCTTTAAATTACGGAAATGGATGTCTAATAATCAGTCAATTTTGGAAAATGTACCCATTGAAGTCAGCAATAAAATACTTAACATAAAAGAAGACGATTCAATAAAAACACTAGGATTAAAATGGAATCCAAGAGAAGATGAATTTCAATTCTCAATAAACATTTTAACAAATGATAGAATAACAAAAAGAATGGTGTTATCAGTAAACGCAAAGATTTTTGATCCATTAGGATGGCTGACTCCAGTTACAATTACTGCAAAATTATTTATACAAAAACTGTGGCAACTAAAGTATGACTGGGATGAAATTCTAGATGAACAAGTTCATAAAGAATACGAGAAAAATAATAAAAATATACAAATAATTGAACAAACTCGGATTCCAAGATGGATGGAAGTATCAAGTTTGGACAATTGGGAACTTCACGGGTTTTCAGATGCTTCTGAAGCAGCCTATGCAGCAGCAATATATATTAAAATAGGTTCAAAAATAAACTTATTGACAGCTAAAAGCAAAGTAGCCCCAATAAAAAATAAAAAAACTATTCCCAAATTAGAATTATGCGGAGCTCATTTACTAGCAAAATTAATGAATAAAATAATTAAAATATTAGGCAATAATCCAGAGGTCTATTGTTGGAGCGATTCTGCGATTACTTTATGGTGGATAAAAGAACCAAGAAACAAAGAAAGATTCATAAGAACACGAGCGACAGAAATTAAAATTTTAATTCCGAGTGCAGAATGGCGTCACATAAGAACAAAAGAAAATCCTGCCGATATAGCATCAAGAGGCATATGTGCATCCAAATTAATAAATAATACTCTCTGGTGGCATGGACCGACATGGCTAGCAAATCCTAAAGAGGAATGGCCAAAAGATGACCAAATAGATGGTTCTGCAGTCATCATAACAACATTAAGTTCAGATAATAATTTTATAGTCGTTTATAAATACAGAAAATATCAAAAATATCTAGACTAGAAAAAATAGTAGCATATGTATTAAGATTTATAAAATGCCTAAAAAATAAATCCAAAGACACAAATCATATATCAAAAGAAGAACTTGATACAGCAAGAAATGAGATAATTCGACAACATCAATTAACGCATTTTGCCGCTGAAATATCCAGCATTAATCAAGGCAAAGAAATTAACAGGATTAGCAAACTAATTCATTTACGACCATTTATAGATAAAAATGGCTTATTAAGAGTTGGAGGCAGGCTACAAAACGCAACTATTAAATATAACCAAATGCATCCAATTATTCTACATAGAGATCAATATGCAGAATTAATAATATATCAAGCGCATCAATCAACATTACACGGAGGACAAAATTTAATGGAAGCACACATAAAGCAACAATATTGGATTTTAGGAGTAAGAAAAGGTATAAAAAAAATATGCAACAATTGCACAAAATGCATTAGATACAGCCAAAACTTTGGAAAACAAATAATGGGATATATGCCAAGCCACAGAATAAATGTATCCCATCCTTTCGAACACACAGGGATTGACTATGCCGGACCCATATATATGAAGTGCTCAAAAGGTCGTGGTCAAAAATCATTCAAAGGCTATATTTCAGTATTTATATGCATGTCTACTAAAGCAATTCATTTAGAAGCAGTAAGCGATTTATCAACAGAAGCATTCATGGCTGCATTAAAAAGATTCTTTTCGAGACGTGGGAAAAGTGCACATCTATATTCAGATAATGGTACTAATTTTATTGATGCATTAAAAAGACTAGACAAAGAATTTGGAAATGCGATCAAAAATAATACATCAATAGTTCAAATTCTCGCAACTGAAAAAATAGAATGGCATTTTATTCCGCCGGCAAGCCCGCACTTCGGCGGTATTTGGGAAGCAGCAGTAAAATCTACAAAATACCATTTAAAACGAGTAATAGGTGAGACAAAGCTTACGTTTGAAGAAATGACAACATTTTTATATCAGACAGAGGCAGTTTTAAACTCAAGACCGCTCTGCTATGTAAACAGCGGAATTGATAGCATTGATGTTTTGACACCAGGACATTTTCTAATTGGGCGACCACTATTAAACGAACCAGAAGCAGAAATCAAAGAAAAAATAAATATAGTAAACCGCTGGGAACTATTACAGCAAATGAAATCAGATTTTTGGAAGAAGTGGAAAGAAGAATATGTGACGTCACTTCAACAAAGAAATAAATGGATAAAAGAAAAACCAAATATGAAAAAATGGCAAGTAGTAATCATCAAAGATCAAAATACAGCACCTGCTAGATGGCCATTGGGGAAAATTACTGAAGTATATGCCGGGCCGGATGGAAAGGTGCGAGTAGTAGAACTCAAAACGGGGAATGGAAAACTAAAAAGGCCAATTCACAAACTATGCCCTCTACTAGATTCCAACGCAATTCGAGGTGATCAACAAACAGGAACACAAAAAGTTTATTGCAATGTAAATACGAAAACTGAGGTAAAATCCGACAGTACAAAGTTAGCATGGACTACTTTGTATTTTTTGATGTTATGCATATTACCAGCTGTAAAAGCAATAACGAATTCATCAGGGGCCTCAATACATAAACTGAACGATAAGACAGCACTTTACTTGGACACAATTGGTGAAGTCAACACAGAAATATCAGCTTGGAATTTAATATTATATTACGATATGAAACAATACTTTATAATGACCAAAAATGCAGAAGATGTACTGAGTAACGCAAATGAAATATGTCCTAAATTATCAAACTTCGCAGAACAATGCAAAAATATTCTAAGTACAATGTCCAGAAAATTGGAAGAAATAAAGGAAGGAAATAAATTATTTATATGGTCAATAAAAGGTAGAACTAAAAGAGCGCCATTTGCATTTGTTGGATCATTTTATCACCTTCTTTTTGGAATGATGGACGAAGATGATCGAAATGCTCTAGAAGAGAACATGAATAACCTATTAGATAATCAACATGATTTAAAACAATTAATAGCGAAACAAACTTCAGTGGTGGAAACAACAGTAAATTTATTGAAGCGCACGTCAAAAGAAGTACAGCTGCAATATAATGAAATTCGTACAAAAATTGAGGCAATAAAAATCGCCTTGAATGAAACTTATTTTGTCTACAAAGAATCGATCAATTTTTTTATGGTTACAAAACAACTATCAGACTTAATAGAAGAATGCTCTAACATACAATCAGAAGTAATTCAACTCTTAATGGATGTCAATCACGGAAATTTAAATCCAAAATTAATAAAACCATCACAACTAAATGAAGAGATAATAAAAATAAGAGACAAAATTCCGGAAATCCTAATATTACCTGGAAAAAAAACTGGGACAGAATTGGAATCTATTTACAAACTCTTAAAAGCAAAAGGGATATTTTTTGGTACCAAATTAATTATCAAGGCGAGGATTCCACTGTTTAATAAACAATCATCTACCCTATACCAGATAATCCCTATACCAATTAAACAAGAAAAAAGATAAATCATTCCGAAGATTACATCGTCACTATTATTATATAACTTGGAAATCAATGCTTATCAATTAATGAACCCGTTAATATGGAGTCAGTGTAATAAAAATGGAGAAAATCAATTTACTTGTGAAGGAAATTTCCCATGGACAGATGCAAACGATAACTCATGCGAAATATCTCCACTAAAACCAACCAATCAAGACAATTGTTATTACAACGAAGTAAGCAATTCTTCTGTTTGGATCATATTACACAAAAAGAACAATTGGATTTATAAGGTCTTTAAGCAAGAATCTGCACACATAAAATGCTCATCAACATCAGACGAAATAATTACTATATCACGACAAGGGGTATTATCATTAAAAGAAGGTTGTATGGCTCGCATAAAAGAAACAACATTAACATCATCAAGCAACTTGCAAAGTTCTACAATACTGAATATAAACAGTCCGGTTATAAAAGAAGCAGATGCGGTCGGAATCAATAATATAAAACCCTGGCGTTATTGGCAAATAAATAACAAAGATGAAATTGAGATGCTACATACACAAATTAAAGAAATCAAAAACAACGGGGTCAAATTAAAAAATTTACACTTCCATCACGCATCCGGTCACGCAGCGCTTGGTTTGACAACTATAATAATTATAGCAATAATTATTTATTTGATTCGAGCAACAATGAGAAGAAGGCGACTGCTGGCAATTGCGATATCAGCTCAGCGTCAGAATGTTCATGAATGAACATAATGTAAATTATATTATTATTATTCAAAACTACTATTCCAAAACATTATTATTTTACTATTATGCTACATTATACTTTAATTTAAAAAAAAAAATATTAGATAATCATTCATGTTAATTCTTATAATTTTCTTTTATTCTATATAGTTACTAAAACAAAAAAAAAAATATATACATACTTAAATATTAAAATTTTTTTTTGTAAAAATAAAATTCCTATAAAGCTAATGTATAGCATATTAAATTAAAATTAAACCTTTATATTATATTTAATAGACTTTTTATATTAAGCCGTTCCGCCTTAATAAAGGCGCGGCAGTATGTTCAATAATGAACATATTTTACTTTAATTAAACTAATATTCAATTTTATATTTATATTATATTAAGCCATTCTGTCTTAATAAAAGCGTTGGCAATATGTTCAATAATGAACATGTTATTTTAGGACATACAATCCTAAAACTATTAAAATTAAAAATTGCATCTTTTTTCAAACGCTGGCAGGATGTGCCTAAATTTATAGTTATTTTTATGTCTGTTATCGTTTAAATTCTTAGAATTATATAAGAAGGAAAAAACACGGGTAATAAAAAAATCCCAAAACTAAAGACATTGTAGAATATTAAACACATTTTAAAATACATGGCACCGTATCGATAATAAAAATATAATTGTAAAATAATAAAAATCCTACGTGCCAGAATTTTATTGTATCCTTTTTGTTATGAACCTTTGCGACAGCAATAAAATGCAACTAAAATAATACAGTCCACTAAAATAAATGATAACAGGCAACAAATTATTTCAACCCTTATTTGTAAATGTAGTTAAGTTATGTTAAGACAATTTTGTATAAATAGAGAATAATTTTCAAAATAAAATCAGTATTCAATTCGATACTCTAACGAAAGCATTTCTCTTTTATTTCAAAAATTAATCATATTCGATGCGTCTATTACCAGAAAATCGTTACGTTTACTTGGAATGCTTATCGTATGTCTTTTCTCTAGATTTTGATTGCTCATTTACACACGTGGTTATATGTGCAAATAGCAGGTGTGCTATAAGATTTACTTAATTTAACTACTATTAAAATAAACTGATATTAAGTTAAATTATATATATATATATATATATAAGTAAAAGGGTGACATCACTGTGTTAGCAGTATGCAAAGGAGGTAGAATGGCAAGGCAGAAGGAGTTAGTTGAAGTCGAGCGTTCGTACAGAGAAGTTGTGAAGTGAAGTTGCAAAGTAGTAGCGGTCGGCTAGTTGATTTTTTGTGAACTTAATTATATCTAAATAACTATTTGGTATTTATAATTGCAATTCTAATATAATTTACCTTACATTTGGGGGCTCAACCGTGTCCGAGCCCAGTTTGGGAAAGTGAAAAGTTAATAAGTGAAACGGCGGAAAAATACAATTCGAAAAACAATTCGAAGAAACGATACGAAACGCGCGCGCAATCGAAATTAGCAACGTGCGAAACAATAGAGACAAATATAAATAAGAAAAATCTGAGAAAATTGGAAAGTGAGTGGCAATCTTGCACAGAGCAAGGAGAAACAGCAGAAAGCAAAATGAGTACGGATAAAAAAGACAATAAAGACAGTGAGCTTGACACTCAGAATTTAAGCGAAATTGTTTGCTTTCTCGCAAGGAGAATAGAGTCAAACGAAAATAAAGAAGCGAACTATAGTAAAAATATTGCTATGGAAAGTTTTAGCAAAGTTATAACAGAATTCGATGGTGAGACAATTGCTGTTAAATTATGGTTTGATAATTTTGAAAAAAACGCGGACGTGTACGAGTTAAATGATAAACAAAAATATGTACAAGCGCGCAACAAAATGTGTAAAACGGCGCAATTATATTTAGAAACGGTCACTGTGAGTAATTACAATGAGTTGAAAAGTGCTTTGGTGAGCGAATTTTATCGAGAGCTCAACGGAGCCGAACTGCACGAAATGCTAGCTAGAGGAAAGAAAAAATAATGCGAAACATTTCACGAGTATGTATTACATATGAAAAGAATTGCGGCAATGGGAAACATAGATGAAATATCCGTTATTCGGTACATAATCGATGGACTAAAACTCAAAAGTGACATTAAATATTCGTTGCACAGCGCAAAAACAATAAAGCAGTTGTGAGACATATACGAAGTGTACGATAGAGTGAATAAACAGGAAAAAGAGGAACATGTAGAAAAGTTGAAAAAAATTTTAAAAGATGGTACAGAAAAATACGATAAGAGTGTGAAAGTGAAAAGAGAGCATTGTTTTAACTGCGGGTCTAGCGAGCACAGAAGAGTAGAATGTAAGCAAGATACAAAATGTTTCAAATGTAACAAAAGCGGTCATATTGCGAAAAATTGCGGGAAAAATAACGAGCAAGTGTATATGGTTAAAAAGGAAAAACGTTTCAAAAATATGACTATCAACAATAAAGAATTTTATGGGTTTATCGATACAGGATCAGATGTGTGTATTGTTCAAGAACACGTTTTAAAAAGTTTTTAAAAAGTAGCAGTTGAAAAAATGACGATCACGTTATATGGGCTTGGAAATACACCAATAAAAACCAAGTGTAGTTTCAAGGCGATGGTTAAAATTGATAACATAGAAGTCGAGCAAAATTTCGTCGTAGTTGCAGATGGTGTAATGAAACACGCTATTTTGATTGGTAACAATTTTATCGGTAAGTTCGAATACAGTTATGATGAGAATGGTTATAGGTTTGTACGAGTAACTGATGATGAACAATTTTTGCACGTGTATCAAGTAACTGAACAAGAGAAAGATTTTGGTATAATACCGCAACAAAGTAAGAGACGTATTGAAAATATAATAACTTCGTTTAATGGAGTAGAAGTAGAATGTCCAATACAGCTGGAAATAATTACAGACAAACCAGTCCCATTTTGCCAATCTCCGAGTAGACTACCACAGTGTCATCAAGCAGCAGTAGAGGAACAAGTACAAGAATGGCTAGAGAAAAAAATTGTTCGTAGATCAATGTCAGAATATGCAAGCCGTGTGGTACTGGCTACGAAGAAGGATGGTTCGTGTCGCGTCTGCATTGACTATCGTAAGTTGAACTCTATGGTTCTTAAAGATGCATTTCCAGTTCCGTTGGTAGACGAAGTATTAGAAAAATTGCAGTCGGTGAAATACTTTACGGACCTGGAGAATGGATTTTTCCATGTGCCGGTTGAAGAAAGTAGCAGGAAGTATACAGTATTTGTCACTAAGAGTGGTGTTTACGAATTTAATCGTGCACCATTTGGCTTTTGTAACTCGCCAGCAGCATTTGTATGATTTATATCGTATATTTTGCAGGAGCTGATGAATGAAAATGCGATGGAACTATACATCGACGATATAGTAGTATATAGCAATACGCCAGAAGAGGGTATTACGAATTACGAAGTTAGAAAAGGTGTTAGAAATAGCAGCTAAATATGGACTCAAAATTAAGTGGCAAAAATGTTCGTTTCTGAAACAGTCCATTAACTTTTTAGGTCATACAGTAGAGAATGGTACTGTAAAACCAGGCTATGAAAAAACGAGAGCAATACAAAAATTTTCCGTACCCAAAGATTTTAAGGCAGTGCAGTCGTTTCTGGGATTGACTGGCTATTTTCGCAAATTCATTAGGGGATATGCTGAAATTGCGAGACCATTGACAGAACTAAACACTATTGGTAAAAGAACCGGTACTCCAGCTATACAGCCGTGATGCAAAAACTGAGCTACACACAGATGTATCACAATACGGGTTTGGTGCAGTGCTGATACAACAAGCAAAGGATCAATTACATCCCACTCGACTTCTTTCCACTTCTTTGTTTACAAAAACATTCCAGCATCTCACCTACCCATCTCAGAAGGCTTCGACTTTAGCTTTGATCACTCACCAGTGCTGCTGATAGTTTCACAAAATCCAACAATAAACCAGAACACACCCAAGTTACCAAATATATTTACCGATTGGAAATATTTTCAGCTTCAGCTTGTACATTTGCACAAATTTGATCATATTGTTAACAGCGAGCAACTAGATGACGCAGTACTTCAATTCACTCAGCAATTGCAGATGGCAGCGTGGAACAGTACACCAACACCAAAACTCCAAACTATATATGGTAAAAAATACCCATCCTTCATCACAAAAAAGATTACGGAGAAGCGAAAATTGCGAAAACGTTGGCAAGCAACTAGATGTCCGTTAATTAAATTGCAACTAAACCGA